CATCATGATCAGCAATTCATTCGGTCGATTTTGCCCTCTGTTTTGAATTTCCAACGATTGCCCTTCCTGCCAAAAGTCCTATAAATACTGAAATCCCTCATTCATACTTTATGCTTCCAAAATCACTCCGAAATTTCTTGCCCTTGTTCTCCAGCACATATTTCTTCTCCCCAAGTCTTCGTTCCTCAATCTTTAAACCCAGGAAATTCTCTTTTTGTCAAACCATTCACCATGGCCTCCTTTATCTCCAAGCTTTCTAAGAAGTGCGACCAATGCCAGAAAATCATCGATCGGAGTTCAATCAAGACCATCCGATTTGAGAGTGACATGAGTACCTCTCACCAAATCTTGGGTCATCTCTTTAAGGCGGCGGTGCCACCAACCATCACCGGGCTCCTCCAGAAGCACTGCCTGTCATCCTTGCTGCAAGGATTTGAATAGTCGAAGTGGGAGGTGGCGAGGCCTCAGGGCTCCTGGCCCTCGACCACTGCAGTCTGGGTTGTACGAATGGAGAGGCTTTTCGGCGAGCAATGGAAAGCCCTAGGCATTTATAATGCCATTCGCCTTTCCTCTATGGATATCATCCTGGACAAGGAGCTTCTTCTGGCGGCCTCATATTTCTGGTGTTCGGCTACTAACACCATGGTTCTCCCTCTCGGCCCCATTGGCCCCACCATCCTCGACCTCACTGCCATCTTGGGGACTTCCCCAACTGGAATTCCAGTCGACGCTGCCCTCCCTGGGTACCCGTCGAACCTCAATTTGAAGGTGCTCTTCGACAAGCGGGCCCTTGAGACGCTGAGCGGTGATGGCCAAACACCCTCGAAGGAAGAGGTCCACAAGCTTCACAAGAACTTTTTCAACTACAACACCCTCTACCTCCATTTTGCCGGCCGAGGAGAGGAGGCTCTGCGAGAAGGGGAGCACGAGGCTTTCCTCTTTTATTGGTACAACAAATTTATTTGTTGTACCAAATCTAACAAATGTCTGGTCGAGAATATGCCAGTGGCCGAAGCCTTAGCCAGTGGTCACACTTTGGCCCTCAGCCCGACCATACTCGCACATCTCTTACGCTGCTTGGCCGAAGTCACTATCGACAAGGTCTATCCGCAGCAGAATGGGCCCCTCTGGTTCTTCCAGCTTTGGTTGCAGGTCTATTTTGCCCCTCTTCGGCCAACGATGGCCGATTTTTCGCCCGAGGAAGCGCTCGGCCCCCAACTGGCTCTTCGGCCAATCCCCCCCTCACCAAGCTGAAGAAGTGTTCAGATACTTTTTCGCTCTCGACAACCTTTCTGATGACGAATTCTTGATCTGTCGTCGTCGAGAATACCCTTCGTCGATTAGACTTCCGACATCAGCATGGGGCGCGGATGAAGAGGCTGACCTTCTTCAATCTTGGGGGTCCTTCGTGCTTGCCCGCGACCTTCTTCTCCGCTGTGAGGGCCGCCGAGCGAGTTGGGAAGTGTATCACCCAAACTTCCTTGCTCGGCAGCTTGGCTACCTCCAAGGTTGCCCGGTCCCCCTTCTCTCCTCTCGGTCCGTCCTGAGCCGTGGACGCGAAACTGGTTCTTCCAAGAAGGAATGCAGCGACGCAAAGAGGGAGTTCCAAGAGCGGTGCCAGAAATTCCACCTTCGACCGGCCACTCCAGAAACTCTTTGCACTGATACCTTCGGTGCCTGGTGGGAAGAATATACCCAACAGTTCTTTGGTGCCCCGGTCGAAACTGTTCTCGCCAAACTCTTCGGTGGTCGACCTAAAAAGGCTTCTGCCCCCCAAACCCAAGGTAATGGTTTATTTCTACCTTTTTCTTTCAATTTTGAACTACTGATCTGCTTTGCTGACTTGCTTTTGCTTCCTCAGGTAGCCGGTTCTTAAAAAAGGTGGAAGTAGTCGCTGCAGCTGCAGCTGAGAAAAAATCGGTCGCCTCGAAGAAGGCTAAAACCGCTGGGCCTGTCTTGCCGAGCAAACAGTCTCATCAAGAGGCCGAGCCGACCATCGAGCTCCCTCGGCCTGCCAAGCGGGTCAAAAAGTTGGCGAAGAAAGGAGCACGGGAGATCCACGTCATTTCCAGTCATACTACGGAGGCAACGACTCCCAGTGTTTCCCCTTCTCTCACCGTCGGCCAGGTCGAGAAACAGCCAACTCCAACCGCAAAAACAGTCCAAGTACGGCCTGTTTCTGAGGTTGGTGCAGCAGTCGTAGCTCCATCGATCGGGGCTACGCCTGCCCTAGAAATGGCAGTCCCTGCGACCGAGAAGACTTCTCCCACACCTCCAAAGCCTTCGGTAGTATTTCTGGAAGAGAGCGAAGGGAGTGACGAAGTTCCAGTGGCGAGTCGCCCTCATCCCCGCCGTCACCCTCTTCCTAGGTCTAAGGTGGCTGTTTCAATTGGCCCTTCCATGGCCGACCGTGGTAAACGACCGGTCAAGGAACCAGTAGCGGCGACCGAAACGCCTGCTCCTCCACAGGACCAGGATGTCCATCCTGCGTCCGAAGCGGCTGTCCCAGTCGGCCCTTCCGTGGCCGACCGTGGCAAACGACCGGCCGAGGAACCCGAGGCAACAGCGGAAACGCCCGTTCATCCTCAAGACCAGGGCTTCCACATTCCTCCGCAAGAGGTTACTTCGGCCTTCGTAAGTACCCTCTACCGTCTTTCCTTGATTGCTTTTCTGCTTTAGAATTCTAAACGAGGAAAATACTAAATGTCAGGTGCCTGTACACTATTTTCACCGAAAATTCTACGCGCCGAAGGGCGTTATCTATATTTCTTGGCCGCCTCAGTGGCCATCGAACGTAGATAACCTCCATGGGCCCAAACAATCGTAATAGATGAGAATTTTTTTTATTGTGATGGGAATACAAATGGTACATCACGTGTTTTAATAGAAGTGATGGGAAATTTTATTTTTTAAGTTATTAACTTTTTAGCCCACATATTTGTATAGTGACACGTGGTGTACCATCCCGTGTATCGGTCACACTGAAAAATCTCTCGTAATAGATGTTAAAATTTTAAAGGGAAATTTTATTTGAACTCATTGAATCTCTTTCTACACCCAGCTTACTCTTTACACCCATATTGTTTTTAATTAAACTTTTGATATATCTTTAGACCCAAATTTATTGCCTGAACTGTCCTCACAAACCCAATTCAAAGATATAAATTTATCTTTACACCCATTAAAAAATAAAAAACCAAAATAAAATGAAAAGAGCTGGAAAACATGTGAAAACAATGTTGCAAAGAATGTATGTAACATCCCATATCAACCAACGAAGACGGGGTGATGTGTCTTATATGTTCATGCCCACCTCCTATAACACGAGGCCTTTTGGGAACTCACTGACTTTGGGTTCCATCAGAACTCTAAAGTTAAGCGAGTTCAGGCGAGAGCATTCCTAGGATAGATGACCCACTGGAAAGTTCTCGTGTGAGTTCCCAGAAACAAAATCGTGAGGGCGTGACTGGGGCCCAAAGCAGACAATATCGTGCTACGGCGGAGTCGAGACTGGGATGTGACAATTTAGTATCAGAGTCACTCTGTCGTGTGATGCGAGTGTGCCGACGAGGACATCAGACCCCTAAGGGGGTGAATTATAACATCCCCAACATAGATGGAGTGATGTGCCTTATATGTACATGCCCACCTCCTATAGCACGAGGCATTTTGGGAACTCACTAGCTTCGGGTTCCATCGGAACTCTGAAGTTAAGCAAGTTCGGGTGAGAGCATTCTCAGGATGAGTGACACACTGTAAAGTTCTCGTGTGAGTTCCCAGAAACAAAACCATGAGGGTGTGGTCGGGGCCCAAAGCGAACAATATCGTGCTACAGCAGAGCCGGGACTAGGATGTGACAATTTGGTATCAAAGTCATTCTGCCGTGTGGTGTGAGTTTGCAGACAAGGATGTCGGGCCCCTAAGGGGGGTGGATTGTAACATCCCACATCGACAAACAGAGATAGGATGATGTGCTTTATATGTACATGCCCACCTTCTATAGCATGAGGCTTTTTGGGAACTCATTGACTTCGGGTTCCATCCGAAGTTAATCGAGTTCGGACGAAAGCATTCCCAAGATGGGTACCCACTGGGAAGTTCTCGTGTTAGTTCCCAGAAACAAAATCGTGAGGTCGTGGCCGGAGCCCAAAGCAGACAATATCGTGTTACGGCAGAGCCGAAACTGGGAGGTGACAATGTAGCTATTGTTGGTTTGGCTAATTAGAATTTAGATTGCAAAGACTAATATTATCAGTAAGATATTATATGAACTCAAACATGAGGAACTTAACTAATCAATGCTGTCTATTATCTAACCGTGACTCTTGAATTAAGTAGTAGCAATTTGATATGTAAACCAATAACAAAAGCAGAATGTTATGGTTGTATGTAAATTAAGAAGTAGAAGACTTGGTAAATGGTGTCCACAAAGAACAACAAATACTTGGTAAACTTATACAGCTAATAGTCAGAATGTTAGTATATGGCATATAAATCAAAATCAATAATTCAACTCTCGCATAAATAAATTCATATTTTAGTTGGAGGATTAAAAATTTCAAAATCACTTTCCATTTGTCAAAAAGAGCTTATTTTTTCTTTATGAAAGCATCTTAGGATTTTTACCAGAACAAAACGCACGTTAAAAGTTATATAATGGTTAGAGTTTAGTTATTGATTGTGAGTTTATTAATAAATCTTATTTTTTTTGTTAATTTTATTTTGTATTTGATGATAATTATGCAATAGGGTAATAAAGATATTTCACATTTAAAGTTTAAGTTATATGTAAAAATAGGTTAAATGAGTTCAAATAAAATTTCTCATTTTTAAATTGAGAGAAAATTTCTTTGTGATAGTTTGGACTGGAATTAGATTTCCCTTTTAATAAAAAAAGGAAATATAATTCCCCAATTTCGATCTTTGCGAAAATTAAACCTTGCTTGTATCAATCATAGGTCTTACATGCTAAGTTTTTAAATCTAGATATACGATGGTGTGAAATAGTTAAATTTATATTTTCGCATTTGGGTTCGCATTAACCAAAAGAAGAGACTTCCATGGGAGAAACGACGGAGATAAACTCAGATAAGCAGCACAACATGACTAACTGAACTAACTAAAACAACTGACGGGAAGAAAGAAGAAGAGCACCTACTGCATAGTGTACATTACAATACAAGATTACATGACACCAATCCGACATAGGAAAACAACATTATTTTTTTTTTACCCTTAACATCCTTAAAAAGTGCTTCTCTCCTTCCTCCCTCCCCTCAATTATAACCTAAAAGAAAATGACTTAAAATGTGTAAAAGCAACTTCCATCATCACTTCTAGCCGTTGGATCAAAGTTTTCTCAGTTGGATCAGTGCAACCTTCAGGAACTGGAACATTCACTTGCTGCGCTGCTTGGCCTACACAAAGACAATTACAAAACCGTTAATACATATATTTTTTCATGAGCCCTAATACATTTTGTAAATTTACCAAATCAAGCTAATGGATCCAAACCTCCCACAGGAGCTCTCTAAATATCAAGGATCTAACCATAGAAAGTTCCTGTATTCATAGCATCTGAGTTAGCATCACCAAGAGCAGCCTCGCTCAAGTACTTATCAGCCAATTGAACTCTCTTCACATTCTCTTGCTCTTGGACAAGCATGTTTCCGTACTCGAGGAGCTTTTCGATAGTCATCTTCGGCTGCTCGAAAGTTGGGGGTCCTTCCTTTGAGTTCACAAGCTTCTTCCCAATGCTATCCACGCCAACACCCGTAATCCACTTCCTCACTTCATCGTCGTAAACCCTAGCCCTCAAGGCACCAAAGAAATCTGCAAAATTATGACATCACGTCAGAATGACTATCTGATTACATAACATGTCAGGATGTCAGACTATTTAATTAAGGGAGTAGGATTCTCGCCTCTCATTTTTTCTCTCCCCTTCTCTCTCCTCCTATTTGAACGGTCACGGTTAAACCACATCAACATTTTATATTAATTTTTTATAGAAAGAGAAAGACAAAATATAGAATGTGAGAGGAAGGGATCAAAGGGGATGGAAAGAGGAGGGAAGAGAATTCTAGTCCTTAATTAAGGTACACGAAAACATTTAGCATACCAATAGATTGGCCTGGGAAGGTGTCAACAAGCTTGACAATGTCTTCCTTAGCAACATTGTCACTCCTGAAGATCCCAATGCAGACTCCAATACGATCTTCGCGGGTGGGAGCCCAGTAGAACTTCTCCATACGACCGTCACGGATGAGAGGAGCGTACAATGTTGAGAAATCGTTACCGGTGACAATGATTGGGACACGGGGGTTCTCCTCCTTGTTGTACATACCTGGAAGCTGGACGTTTGTCGGGTTATCAGCAATGTTCATGAGGGTGGCATTCACCATTTGGTTGTTGACAGTGTATTGGGTGGTTCCACCAAGCCGACCAGCTCCTGCATCAAGATCGTTGATGAAGAGTGCACACATTTTACCCTTCCTGATTATGTCGGCTGCTTCACGGTACCTTTGCCTGATCAGCTTCGCGGGTTCTCCTGCGTTTCCACTTTCCAATTCTCCGGCACTCATCATGATAGGGCTGAAAAAATATCATCAAAAAGCTAGGTTGAGCAAGAAGCGCACTTATTATCTGATCAAGTGACCATAACCTGGTAACTATTTTTCAGTTTTAAGTTTTCAAAGAAATTATATTTGAAAACAAAAAACTGACCAAGTGACCATAAACTGCCAAACTGGTAACTATTTTTCAGTTCTAAGTTTTCAAAGAAATTATATTTGAAAACCAAAATCAAACTAAAAAACCATAAAAAACATTTCAATTCTAAAAAAGTTACTAAAGAAAATAAAGGAGTTTTCTGTTCAAATAAAAATAAAAGTTGAAACACGCAAAATCTGAAAACTGAAACAAGAAATAGCTACCAAACAACTTTTAATTAGTTACTTAGCTTTTCAATGTGTGACATTCAAGTCTTAACACATGAACAATTTAAACTAAGTGACATAAAGCACGTGTGACAAATGAACTGACCTGATTCCCATCTTGGCAAAGACAAGCTCGCACTGGAAAGACTTGCCCTGACCTTTGCCTCCCCAAATACCCAAGATGAGAGGAACCTGCAAACAAAGTTAAGTGATGATTTAAGTTAAATTCCTGCAATTAATATAATTATGGAAGAAACTCATGGTTAAATCTTTGATAGTGATATCTACCTTGATGTTAGGAAGGGTCATGAAGTTCTTGGTGATGTGAACAACAAGCTTGTCCATAAAAGCGGGAGCAATATAATAACCGTCCATGTTATTGTCAAAGTTGTACCTATTCAAGAACCATCTCGTTACCATCTTGTTAACTGTAATAATCCGAAACTTGGAAACAATTATATTGGTCGTGGATTTGGAACCGTGAAATATTCATAAGAATATATATGATCTCTGAACTTACTGGCGAAGCCCCGTGCTGATGTATTCATAAGAGCTCATGATGGCAAAGTGAGTTCCTGATCCTTGAGGTGCCTGGAAGAGGGAGTCCACCTTACCCTTTCCTCTTGTGATGTCTTGTTGGTCGTCGGAGGTGTCGAAGGCAAGGCCTTTCCATCTGTCCTTGTCGGTCTGCTTATCTTCGTCCACACTCGCGACAATCCTGAGACTCCCGGAGGAAACCTTGGAGTTCGTGAACCTTGAGTTCACTTTCTTCAAGCTGCTTCCCAAAAAGGTTGAGCTTGGAACTGAAGCACTGCTGCTAGAGCCATTCAGGTTCGGCTTCATTAAAAGTGCAACGATTAGTTTTATCGTGATTACCTTCCAAAACTCACAAATTGTTTCCCACACTCACATAGGTATTATAACTTCTGTTTCCCAAAACTATGAATATGAACTATTTATTAGGTTGATTCTTCGTTGTATATGTAGTCCGGATAAATAATTTAAGTATTTATCTAGAAGACTTGAAAACATAAGTGTGACAAAACATTACCCTAAGTAGGTAACTAATATATAATTAAAGACAACTAACTACTGTTTAGCTTCTAAGCACCTGGTGATTGTGCATACTACACACACAAAAAAGTAAAGGCATAAAAAAGGTGGGAAAGGCGTAATACCGGTGCTCTGTTGACAGATCCAATGGTAGAGACAGCAGTGGCCATGATCTCTCGCGGATCGGACGGTTGTGTTCTAGTGTGAGTGACAGAGGGGGGCACTCCTGGTTGCCCGCAAGCACAGTATGCTATTGTGTTTTGAGCGGAAAAGAAATGAGAGCTGGTTTGCCTTTATAGTGTTAGTGTACAGAATTTGATATCGTTTGGATTTGCTTGTTGAATGGTTTGAGACCATAGAATGAAGATTGCATTGATGCCACGTGTCAAACAAAGAGTGCTTGGAAACTCAGTCATTTGACTCGTTTCTTGGTGCTTGAGGACCTGAGGTTAGTGTTTAAGCTCTCTTCTTCTCCACCAAAAATTAGGCAATTTCTTTGTGACAAAAAATAAAATTCAGACAATTTATTGGCCACAGAATTGAGAATGGAAGAAACTGGAAAACCCATGTCTATTATTGTGGGGTTTTATTTTGTTGTTTTCTTGAATGAAGATGCATGAAGAGATAAGGTGAACCATGAATAAAATGTTTGTGACCAGCAGCAATTTTCATTTCCTTAAAAATAAATTGGATTTGCGGAAGAATTTAAAAAAAAAATGTATATATTATGCTAGGGCACAAAGTTCAGTCAATCAAAATGTTTAGAGCAAGGGCAAGACAAGATTACATTGGGCTGGTTATTTTGTTCCTTTGAGCCACAGTCTTGGCCCCAGAAATATACACTGATTGTAACCTCTTAGGGGGCGTTTGTTGCGCTGGACTATCTCGGACTGGACTAGCTTCAAGGACTAAGTTGGACTGGCTTAGACTAGACTAAGCTGGACTAACTTAGTGAAACGTTTGGTGCAGTGTTGGACTAAGAAGCTGGATAATAACAAATTCTAATATTATATTATTTAATATATAAATTATTAATATTTTATTATGATCTAGGTGACTGGAGATGACGAGGAGTCTATCGAGAGTGTTTGTTGAGCATGAGAGGATGAGAGAGGATAGTCTTAGCTAGTCCCATGGTTATTGGGGGGGTCTCGCTAAGACCACTTAGTGAAGGGTTTTGTCCATGCTAGTCCCCTTTAGTCTCATTAATGTTAGTCCCAGCATGGAACAAACACAGTATTGGACTAACAGCTAGTCCAATCCAGTCTAGTCCCACTTAATGAGGGTAAACAAACGCCCCCTTAGAGTCCTGACCTGGCCCATATCTCAAGCCTATCAACAATTTCACTCGTTAACACGACATAACACAATTTGACTGTGAAAGTAAAACTTATCAAACTAGTACAAGTAATGGATTGCTCTGGTACTGGAAGTTAGAGAAGCTTCCTCTTTATTCGTTACTTCTTCAGTTCAAAGCTTCTCCTCTTCTTAATGTATATTAGTGTAGAATAGCATTTGTAACAAAACAAAATTACAGAGTACTTTTCAAACCAGTTAGTAACTTAATATGGTGCTAAACACTCGTTTAAACTCATTTCACAATATTTTTACAATTTGAACTAACAAGTTTTAGGTTATCAATGAAAGATCATCTTGCAAAATTTCATTAAAATTGAAGATGAGTTATTTAACTGGACTTGATAAATAAATAAACAATACAATTTACAATGATAATTAATGACTAGGTCCCCTTTCTATCATCCAAACCCCCTCTCTCTCTCTTAGACAAACACATCTGTTTGATATCTGAATTTGCATTTGTTTCCATAAAAGACAATAATAATTAAAAGATTAAATGATTTCCAATTTCAGTAAGAATAATATGAAAGAGCACTAAAAAATGAACGGATCGTAAGTTCAATTTGTAGGGGAGACCTAATCGAACAGTTAGCACCGTATTAAGTTGTTAATTAGTTAACGCTTAAGCATGCTTTTATATGCAACCTTTAACTCTTTATAACACGACACACCACTAAAATTCACAAGTAAAACTCTTCAATCATATGGAGACATATATAGACTATTTCACCCATAAACACAACATGAGAAACCCTATGTTCCATTCTAATCATGTAAATTAATTGGGAATATAAAAGAGACAACCTTTGTTTGTCAGTCATAATAATACTAAGGCTTTTTAGCCAAAGTGGTCTATGAAATTCGCATAACTCCTCACTTTGGTCCCTGAGATTTCAAATCAATAGAAGTGGTCCCTGAGATTGTCCATCATCCATCATTTTGGTCATTCCGTTAAAAACTCTGTCAAGTGTCTCGTAGCTCTTGGCCGGAAGTTTGGGCAATTTTCAAGGCTTTGTAACTCAATCGTTTCTTAATCAAAGTCGAGCCATAATATATCAAAATGAAGATATGAAAGTTTAGAACAAGATTATACCTATTTGGAAGCCCAATGGTTGTCGGAGATGGTCTGAAAATAGCCTCAAAGTTGACTGGTCTGAGGGAAAATTGGAAAACCCGTCGAAAACTGGATAAACTTTAAACATTCATAACTTCTTCAATATTCAACAAAATTAAGTGATTCAAAAACGAAAATCATACTTCTGGACTAGAAGAAAAGAATGGTACCTTTTTCAGTGGCTAACTCACAGTGGTTTGGCCGGAAAACGGCTCGAAAGTGGCTATCTTGGTCTCAAGTTAGCCAGTTTCGAGCCATTTTTCTGCCAAACCACTGCGATTTAGCTATAAAAAAAAGGTACCATTCTCTTTGTCTCATTGATAAGTATGATTTTCATTTTTGAATCACTTGATTTCGTTGAGTATTGAAGAAGTTATGAACGTTTAAAGTTTACCCAGTTTTCGGTGAATTTTCCAGTTTTCCCTATGACCAGTCAACTTTGAGGCTATTTTTCGGCTATCTCCGGCAACCATTGGGCTTCCAAATAGGTATAATCTTATTCTACACTTTCCTATCTTCATTTTGATATATTATGGGTCGAATTTGGTTAAGAAACGATTGAGTTACGAAGCTTTGAAAATTGCCCAAACTTCCGGCCAAGAGCTCCAGGACACTTAACGGAGTTTTTAACGGAATGACCAAAATGATGGATGGTGGACAATCTCAGGGACCACTTTGATTGATTTGAAATGTTAGGGACCAAAGTGATGAGTTATGCAAATCTCAGGGACCATTTTGGCTATTTAGCCTAAAGAGAATGAATGATTCAAATTATGTTGTTCGTACGATAACGATATATTAATAGAGGTGGAGGAACAAATAAGTTCTTTGACAACACAAGCATTATTCAATTAAAATACCACGGACTCTTCCAAATAAAAGATCATTAACTATTAAATGGGCAAACCCTATCCTCCCATAGAAAAAGAATAAACAAACAATAACCTAAAGTGATGTCTCTTCTCCTTCAAATTTACTTTCCCAAAAAGGAGTGTTTCTTTGTTAACCCAAAGAATTTTGTTTTATTGTGATGAGATGGTACTAATGGGCACTAAAAAAGGAACTATCATAAATTAAAGCATCTTCTAACTTTTATATTACATGCAATTCTCAACACGTTTAAGAGGTGGGCAAGTACTACTGAATAATGAATTGCTTTGATACATAGGGTGAGTTGTGTTTCATGTTTAAGTATTCTCATTTTTATAGTTTAGATGAATTTAATATAAATTGTAAATTATTATATTATTTGTAAAAATAAAAATAAAATTAGTACTTGTTAGATCCCACATCGTTTAGAGGAGTAGATCCTCTATGCCTTATATGTACATGCTCACCTCCATATAGCACCAAGCTTTTTGGGAGCTCACTAGCTTCGGGTTCCATTGGAACTCCGAAGTTAAGCGAATTCGGACAAGAGCATTCCTAGGATGGGTGACCCACTGGGAAGTTCTCATCTGAGTTTCCAGAAACAAAATCGTGAAGGCGTGGTCGAGGCCCAAAGTGGACAATATCATGCTACGGCAGAGTCAAGCTCGGGTTGGGATATGACAGTACTCTAAAATATTATTGTGCACTCCTCACATAGTATAGTTTCTTTTTGGGGTTAATCTCAGTTTATTACCTTAAAGTTTCTTGGTTTTCAACATTTGATACATTAAGTTTTTTTCATCCTACAGTGGTACCTAAAGTCATAATTTTGGGACAACTTCATACTCTGTTAAGGTTGCTGTTAAGTTAGCCGTTAACTTATGACGTAGTACCCACGTGGACAATGATTAAACGCCACATGTCGATATGGGTCCACGTGGATATTAAAAAAAATTAAAATTAAAATATTAATTTTTTTGTTCATTCCCCTCCCTCTTCGACTACACTCTCCTCCATTCCCGACCCACCTCACTTTTCCAACCCCTTTCTCCTAAACCATAGTGGCGCCAATACCATTTTCCCAACTGTAACTATGGTCATCGCCGCACCGCCACCTACCCCAGCCCCAGATTCCTTCAACGACGTACCTCGGGGCTCGACCCCAATATGCTACATGACTTAATGAAGAAATGAAGGGACAAAAGTTTGATTTATAGATCTACTAAGAACCATGAATTTTTCTATCTAAATCAGAACGAAGAAGGTACACCATATCCATACAAATTCGCCAAGAAAATCCACCCTACGTATATTTATATGACAAAAACTTCAAATTTATTATACCATATTCGCCTTGTGCGCGATCTAATTACGATGTGGGGGAGGTAGATAGGTTCAACCACGAGCAGCAATGACGGCTAGGGATGTACTGACAACGACATGGGGTACGACACCGTTGAGGAAGGAAATGAAGCTAATGGAGGCAGAAGGCTCTTGCTCGTCGAGGAAGAGGTCCTCATGAACCTTAAAGGCGCCTTGCACAAAGACAACTACGCCACTGACGGCAATAGCGGATATGAGGACGGATCTGACATATGTGAGGAAGATGATGAAAACAGAGAGGCGATGAGGCCTCATAAGGTTTGGGTTTCGAAGAATGTGTGGCTGAAGATGACGAAGGGCTGATCAGAGATGCGGCGGCAGCAGTGCTTACCGTGGTGTAAGAGGAAAGGGCTAGGTTTTACATAGAGGACCTGTTCGTGAGGGAGGGCTATAGGAGGAAGGGGTTGGGGAAGTGAGGGAAAGGTGGGTTAGGTACGGAAGAAAGTGGAGTCGAAGAGAAAGGGAAGAGAAAAAATTTTGATTTTGATTTTTTGAATTTTTGAAGTTTTAAAATTTTTAAATATCCACATGGATCCATATTGACACATGGCGTTCAGTTATTGTCCACATGGGCACCACGTCACAAGTTAACAACTAATTTAACAGCAACCTTAACGGAGGTATGAAGTTGTCGCAAAATTATGACTTCAGGTACCACTCTGAGATGAAAAAAACTTTGTTGATGCACAAAACCGGAGGTATTGGAACAACGTAAATCCGACCGTGAATCTGCAAGTAATGTAAATAACACAAGATCTATCATGGTTCACCCCAAGGTTTGGGCTACGTCCACACTGAATATGTATTTATCTGAGGGAGAGAGGGCTCTGAGAGTGAGAGCTTTGAGAGGCGGTAAGAGGGCTTAGGAATTGGCCTCCCCTAATTGTGAGGGTGATGGATCCTTTTATAAAATAAAGACTCCTCACTTATTACATATTTGCCCCTTCCTTTATCGCATAATTACATTTAAGTCTCTCGAGTATTTGTACGATATCTAAATACGAGGCCCTAAATATGGTATAAACAGTAGTCTCCCAAGTCTTCAGTCAAGAGAGTCTTTTGGCTGGAGACTTGAAATTCAGTCTATGTGTGGGCCTAAGTAACTAGATGTTGTCTTGAATTGATGTTTGATATGAGGCGGTACTCAATCTGAAATGATGCTCAACTAGAAGTAGCACATGTTGCGAGGCTGCTTGGCTCGAGGCTTATGTTGCTTTGGTTGGCTCGGCTTGTGGCGTTGAAGGTGAGGGAGTCCCTTTTATAGAATAAGGGCTCGCTCCTCAATACATGAATGATGGGCTAGAGTTGATGCTCTCTAATGATGGTGAGGGAGTCCCTTTTATAAAATAAGGGATCGTTCCTCAATACATAAGTGATGGGTGCTTTCTAATGAAAGTGAGGGAGTCCCTTTTATAAAATAAGGGATCGGTCCTCAATACATGAATAATGGGTTAAGTCCCCCGAGTAGTTTTCATGAGGCCCAGTTGAGGCCCAATATGTGGTACATAATGTAGTCCCCCAAGTCTTCGGTCAATAGAGTCTGTTGGTTGCAGACTTCAAATTGAATCCATATATAGGCCGAAGTGGTGGTTGTTCGGAGGCAGTATTTGTATACCTTGCACTGAAGCTTTGTAGGTGAAGCTTTGCAAGTGAAGCTTTGAGGCTAGAACTCTGTAAATGACGATTTTGAAGCTGATTGACATGAGTGATGCTTATGAATGTTTATGTTGATTGACATGAGTGATGCTCATGAGTGTTGTCATGAGTGATACTCATGAATGTTAACATGAGTGATGCTCATGAATGTTGACATGAATGATGGTCATGAATGTTTATGTATGATTGTCATGAGTGATGCTCATGAATGTTTATGTATGAATGACATAAGTAATGCTCATGCATAATTTGGAGTACTAGGCGTACTTTTGATCACCTGGTTGGTGGCATGAATGGGAGTACAGGTTGTACATTTCATCACCTGGTTGGTGGCATGAATGGCTAGTTGCCAAATTAGAGTACAGGTTGTACATCTCATCACCTGGTTGGTGGCATGAATGGCCAGTTGCCAAATGATATTAGAGTACGGGTTGTACATTTCATCACCTAGTTGGTGGTAATAGCGGCGGGTTGCTGAATAATTTTGGAGTACTGGACGTACTTTTGGTCACCTAGTTGGTGCTATTTTGGGCTTATAGGTCTTCGCTCTCCACAACATATCAGCCCATTTATTTTGGGCTTTGCCTTTTTTTTTCTTTTTTTTTTTTTTTTTACCTTCTGATGGGGTTTTTACAGATGTCTCCGAAAGATAAAATAAATTACATCATTCAGAAATAACAAAAGTAAATCACATCATTCTGGTGGGGTGTTTATTCCTCCCTTTTGCTTTCTCTTTTCTTTTCTCCTTTTGTTTTTTTTTTTGCTTTTGTTTCACCGCACCTTTCTTTTGCTTTTGTCGTTCCCTTTTCCACCGGACCTCTCTCATTCAGTCTCTTTTTCTTTGCCATGTACAGACATCTTCACCTGCACAGATTTGCTTTTGCCTTTTTCTCTGTTCACTGCGTCTCTTACTTGCTGCAGCTCACTTGATTGGTGCAGTGTAGTGATGCACTGACAACTGCCCCTTTGATCTGTTCCATGGCTTTTTCAGAATAGCCTTTTTATGATGAAAGTTTCATTGTTGGTGGCATCTTCTAGCTGCTTTTCATTTTTTGAATACTTATGACCTCTTAAAGCATTGAGACAGAGCCTGAGAGTGCGATGTTCCATTAGGGCCCCATAGCTGTTGTTATATGAACCACCATGATTAGGTACCTTGCTACTTGTGCTGCCATTGATTCTTCTTTCTGATCACCTAAAGAAACCTCTTTGTTCTCGCAAATCAACGCACCCATGAGATTAGCGCCTGACCAGCTCTTCAGATGGGCAGTTTCCCTATTTTTTCCCCATGGGAAATCCTTATTGAGGATGTGCAAGTATAGGTAAGCAGGAGGCGCATCGTGGTGAGGATGCTGCTTTGATAGGTTAACAAAAGCTAAAATAGTGTAGGAAGCGATGCCGAGGTAAGTTATCTTCTCCCACTTGGCCATCTCACGAGCATCGTCGTGTCCAACAGAGGAGGATAATGAGCGTCTTGGAGGAGCAGCGGATCGAGAGTCGCCACGCAGGGCAGTTTGAAACCCAGCATATCGAAACATCGCCATCGCCATGAGCAAAACTGGTAAGCATTGGCGGCAACTCCCACAGATTTGGGCATCGCTCATTCTTCACTATAAGGATCATTGAACTTGATTCGAACCGGGGAAAGCTCGTCGGACTCCAAACCGGTCCCAAGCCTCCTAAACATGCCTCTTTCCCACGAATACATCAACCCTCAGTTTCAATCTAAGTGTAAATACAAGGAGAGGTGTAGGCCTCCGAGTCTCTGGACACAGCGTGCAGCGATATAGACAAGAAGTCCACAGTATAACCCTTCTCTCTATCAACATCACTCAACCAAACCACTTGCTTGGTGGAGATGTAGAGGGTGCCAGAGGACTCAGGGGGTCGATAGGTCGGGTTCCAGTTTGTGGGGGTGAGGAGGAGGACAGGATAGTGTGGATCTGGGGGGGGGAGGAACTTGTCCCAAACAACGTCGGATTCAACGGGCGACCTGAAACTCCTCGAAATCGACGACATCATGCCCGCGTCCCGAGGCGTGGTCAGCGAGACAAGGGTGGTTGTGCATCCCTCCGGCAAGGCCTGCAGATCCAGGGGGTCGCCTCCGCCACCATTGACATCATCTGTTTTCTCCTGGTTTCCGCCACCGCCTAAGAAGAACTTGAACATTTTTGCGATTTAAATGGGTTCCTCGGACAATGGAAAACACGTTGTGATTTTCTTTCGTCGGCGATGCGGTATCTGATGACATCATTTTGTGTTTCAAAGAAATGTTTGATTAGTTTGTGGGAGTGGGTTGTGTTGTTTTCTGGGGTGGTGGTTTTGCAGATTCACGGCGGAGGTAAGAAATTGAGAGAGAACCAACATAAGTTTTCGTGTCGATTCCCACAGATGGCGCCAAATGTTGATGCACAAAACCGGAGGTCTTGGAACAACGTAAATCCGACCGTGAATCTGCAAGTAATGTAAATAACACAAGATCTATCGTGGTTCACCCCAAGGTTTGGGCTACATCCACACTGAATATGTATTTATCTGAGGGAGAGAGGGCTCTGAGAGTGAGAGCTTTGAGAGGGGGTGAGAGGGCTTAGGAATTTGCCTCCCCTAATTGTGAGGGTGAATGGTCCTTTTATAGAATAAGGACTCCTCACTTATTACATATTTGCCCCTTCCCTTATCGCATAATTACATTTAAGCCCCTCGAGTATTTGTACGAGATCTAAATACGAGGCCCTAAATATGGTATAAACAAACTTGATATATCAAATGTTGAAAATCAAGAATCTTTATGGTAGTAAACTGAGACTAACCCTTCTTTTTAAATATAAAAAATTGGAATGCACATGAAAATTTTGGAGTGCCAATACAATTTAAAAAAAAGTATGGGATAAAAATTATCAGTAATTCTCTTGCAAAAGTGCTTAGGAATTCCTTATGATTTTTGTCTAAATTTTATATTTATTTGCTTTATTCAGACAATAACGCTTTTGCTAGAAATGAAAAACAAAAAAAAATCAATAAAAATTCAAGAGCTTTCTGCATATTCACTTGCAGCAGCTGCGTCTTCTAGAAGCACTAATTAGTACTTCCTCAAAAACCTCAGAACATCTAATTTCATAAAGCACTTTTATCTATTTTAGTCAAACACTATAAAAAGTGCTTTATTTAGTTAGTTGAAATCACTTTCAACACTCCCATAAGACATAAGGAGTTTAAATATTGTCAAACACAGCCTTAATCATACTCACTCTCAACTGATCACTACAAGAGTCTGGCGTAGATATTATAAAATATAATGAAGGTTTCATGTTGAATATGATATTGGAAAAGATAAAAATAGGGTTAGATACCATAAAGAGCAGGATGCTTCACCGATACAATTAATAGAAGGATAATTTTACATATGCGCACTACGAAAATTTAACAACTATGACTTAAAACCTGAATAGATTAACAAAAACCAAGGGAGAAGAACCAAACTGGTAGAAAATTTGTCTTTTTCTAGATGTGAATTGTAGTGTGAAACCAAGGATTTATCCCCTTGCCTCTATCTCACACTCACGTGATTGTGAGAGATAGAGACAAAGGGATAAATTTCAGGTTACACCCCAAGTTTTTCTCCTGGTTGACCTATGCTAATATTGGACTGGCTCCTGCAATTTTTTGAAAGCTAATTAGTATAAATCCCATGTAGCAGTCTCATTTGGCCATGGATTGTTTCCCAAGTTGTCTTGCTCCATACCTTCAAGAAATCTTTTTAAAGGATCTGGTGTAGAGTGATCCCCAAATAAGTTCACTTCTTCCCATTCCTGTAAAGGTGGCATCTCTATATCCATCTCACCGTTAAACCCTTGGTTGGCAGCTGCACTTCCTATGTGTGGAAATATTGGTGATTCTGGTAATTGATTCTGGATATGTTGTGTGTCAACAGCATCATGTTGTGAAAATACTTGCAACTGGTCAACGAATGTGTTGCTATTACTTGGATGACAAGTTGCAAAATCAACCATTTGGCTCCCAAGAGTTTCGATCTCCTCTTGTAAGTACGCGACCTGCGAGGAAAGACTGATGAGTAAATGGCCTACACAAAATTATGTATTGACATGTGTAAGTGAGAAGTTTGGAGTAGGTTAGCAGCATGGAAACCTGTTGTTGGAGTGCATAGATTTGCGAGACACATCCATACACAGGATCACGCATTCGAGCTAGCGCTTCATACGACATGGTGATGGCAGCATCACTTCGATTTTGCACCGGTAAGTGTAGTAGCAGCTTGGACACATTGCTTGCACCAAACACTTTGTGTACTGCTGCAAAGTGGTCTGCAGCTTGGTCGTAGCAGAAGTAAGGAGCGAAAATGCATTCGCTTGTGCATTTTCGCCGTAGGAATTTGCATGCTCCACATGAAGAGCCTAATCCTGCCATAGTCCTAAGCTTTTAGTACTAAACCTGTGACAAGGGTTTCTTCAGGTGGTACCAGAAATTGACTGGTGTATATCCAAAGTTTAGATTTAGTCTTTATAGCCATCACTCGAAAGGGTTTGAAGTATTCTTTTTGTACAGAGGACATCCTCATTTTAGTGAAAGCTATTGTTCTTTTGGGTCTCCTTTATGGGGTACATCATCAATCTCAAATAGGGTAAGCATTCCCTGATTAATTAATGCCTCTAAGTTATTAAGGGTCCTAATTCTTAATTAAATAATCTTTAAGAATGAGTCCAATATTTGATGGAAGACCTAATCATTATCATCATAAGTTGGGCTCAAAAAATGAGAGTGCATAGCTCTAATTAGTACATTATTCTTGAATATCTAGTAGAGACAAGTACAATAGCCATACATTTATTTCTCATATATGGAAAGTATATCTTGCGCAAAATAAACTTATGGGTTCTATAGATGTACCTTAATCAATCTTGTTTATGTAGCAATCGTGGATTATGACGGTTGGTTTAGTAGATCTATTCTCTTGCATTCGAGTTTAATATATAAATCTTTTCTCTATAAATTAATTAGAGTAGTTTAAAATATCGAATTGTAAATGGAAAAAAAACACCTTATTAGTCAAAATTTGAGGGTTGCAAATATCAAATTGAACTACTTTGCTTTAAGCTTCATTAATGTAATTAAACTATATTTTACTCTACTAAAAGTTCATTAGTATAGTAGATGGCCATGGAATTCTCCTCTATTCCACTTACTAGGGCAGCCATTCGACGAGTCGATAAGCCAGTGCATGAGGAATTCATGGAAAACACTGTGTTGCAAATTATAATATACCTTGAGCCAAAATCAAACGATGGGTTTGGTGGATTCTGCTATGTCATTCTTCCTTAACTAATGAGATTAGAGTTCACATTCTTATTAATTCACCCTATTTTCCTAGCTTAGAGATTGGATGTAGAGCCTGTGACTCATGGCGTCTCTACTTGTCGTTATGCTCCATTATTAACCTTATTTTAAATCCATAATGCACGTCTTAATTAAGTCCCCATGTTTATATTTTAATCCTACGTTATCAGGTTGGCTGTTGGCCACTTAATCCGGCCGGGTCGCTGCTAAGACGACTGTTCTTGTCTCTGGAACACCAAAAAAGCTTCAAAAATAGCAAGCGCCAATCCCCCCACAAACCCTAGCCATCTCCTGTTTGACAATGAGTTGTAATAAGTGCTTAAATTTCTTCTTCGGGCTCTAGGTTATAAAAGCAGAAATATTCGAGCAAATAAGAGAGTGAGTTGGAGGCGACAAAATGCTATTTTCAGCAAATCGCATAAACTTTTCTGCTTTCTGTCATCTCACATATCACAAATGTGAAAATTCCTTTTGGAATCGAGTGAGAATTAATTGATGCATGAGAAAGGAATGTATGAGGAGGATGGTGGGGGCGGTAGCTTTCCGTTTTCGAGTTTCGAGTTTAACGATGAAAGTGTCTTTCCCTATCATGGCGTCCTTTACAGTTTTACCCAGCTGCAATGCTAGTAGCTAGGGTTTGTTAGCTTCGTTCGCATTTTTTGGTGCTCTGTTTGTACTTGTTTGTTCCCAATACTAACAGGGTTGCTGCATGTGAATCCTTTCCACTTGTGTTCTTGATAAAATTTTGAGCTGTCATCAACTGAAGTAATTGAATAAAGTTTCTCATTTAAATGCTACACATCACACTGCTGAATCTTAAGAGAGTTTAGGAGTTTTTAATCATAAGGAAGAAGATATTAAAGTTAAAAGAATCATGGGAGTTGTTTACCCAAAAATAAATAAATAAATAAATCATGGAGTTGAAGTACGTGGTTTTGTGAGTCATCTGGATTAAGAGGTGTGATTTTCGGTTTTTCTATGTTTTAATTTTAATTTTTATATAAAGCAATATTCTACACCAAATTAATCTAAACTACTAAAAAAGAAATTCAAATTTCGGGTAGATCGGGGAGTGTTTTGATTACCCCAGGTCTCTGCTCCTGTTTTTCTATATATTAATTTGCTGGCTTTTCTTTCTTGTCCTACATATTCAACAGCAAATGGTTTCAGGGAGACATGAACCTAAATTAAGAAATGTTTTTAACAACGTTTCTGTTTCGTGTGACATACCATCTTAATAATTAGGTGGCCAGTTATCCAATGGGATGAGCTCAATGCTGCTTTTGATATCAACCAATTATATCTTAACACGTGCTTATTCTTTTAAAAATATAAAAATAAATAAATCTAAAATAAGAGTTTGAGTGTAATTAGAAGTTTCTACAAATTAGGACTCTTTTATCTTTTTTCCTTTTAAAAGACCAATCATACTTATATTAGTGTATTAGGCTCTTTAGCAAAAATGGTCCATAAGATTTGTATAACTCATCACTTTGGTTTCTGAGATTTCAAATTAATAGAAATGGTCCTTGAGATTGTCCACCATCCATCATTTTGGTCATTCTATTAAAAACTCCGTTAAGTGTCCCATAGCTCGTGGCCAGAAGTTTGGGCAATTTTCAAAACTTCGTAACTCAATCATTTCTTAACCAAATTCGACCCATAATTTATCAAAATGAAGATAGGAAAGTGTAGAATAAGATTATACCTATTTGGAAGTCCAATGGTTGCCACTTTCAAGCTATTTTCCGGCCAAACTACGGCGAGTTATCCATAAAAAAAATAAAAAAAAGATATCATTCTCTTCATCTCGTCGAGAAGTATGATTTTTGTTTTCGAATCACTTGATTTCGTTGAGTATTAAAGAAGTTATGAACGTTTAAAGTTTACCCAGTTTCCTGCGAGTTTTCCAGTTTTCCCTAAGACCAATCAACTTTGACGCTATTTTCCGGCCATCTCTGGCAACCATTGGGCTTTGAAATAGATATAATCTTATTCTGCACTTTCCTATCTTCATTTTGATATATTATGGGTCGAATTTGGTTAAGAAACGATTGAGTTACGAAGCTTTGAAAAATGCCCAAACTTCGGGCCAAGAGTTCCGGGACACTTAACGGAGTTTTTGACCGAATGACCAAAATGATACATGGTGGACAATCTCAGGGATCACTTTGATTGATTTGAAATGTTAGGGACTAAAGTGATGAGTTATGCAAATCTCAGGAACCATTTTGGCTATTTACCCTTCTCCTTATCATCATTTAAAATTGGGTAAATTACATAGTAGCCCCTCAGGTTTAAGGTCTATTGCAATCTTATACAACATCTTTAAAACATTTCACTTTCATACCTCAAGTACTATTTTATTTCAATTTCATACAACCGTTACATTTTTCATCCATGAATCTGTTAAATGCTGACGTGGCTGCCACATATATGTCACGTGGCTGCCAAATGTCTGCCACGTGGCAAATAAAATAATTTTTTAATTTTTTTAAAAAAACCTGTCTACCACTTTTTTTTTTCTCTTTCTTCTTCTTCTTCTTCTTCTGGGTTCGGTCCTTTTTTTTTTTCTTCTTCTTCTTCTTCTTCTTCCTCCTCCTCCTCCTCCTCCTTATCTTCTTCTTCTTCCTCCTTCTTCTGGGTTGCAGGGGGTTCGATCATTCTTTTTTTCTTTTCTTCTTCTTCTTCCTCCTCCTCCTCCTTTTTCTTCTTCTCTTCTTCTTCTTCCTCCTTCTGGTTCGGTCCTTTCTTCTTCTTTTTTTCTTCTTCTTCTTCTTCCTCCTCCTCCTCCTCTCTCTTCTTCTCTTCTTCCACGTTCTTCTTCTCTTCTGGGTTCGGTCCCTTTCTTTTTTTTTTTCTTCTTCTTCTTCTTCCTTCTCCTCCTCTTTCTTCTTCTCTTCTTCTTCTTCCTCCTTCTTCTTCTGGGTTCAGTCCCTTTCTTTCTTCTTCTTCTTCTTCTTCTTCTTCTTATTCCTCTTCCTCCTCCTCTTTCTTCTTCTCTTCTTCTTCTTCCTCCTTCTTCTTCTGGGTTGCAGGGGTTCAGTCCCTTTTTTTTTTCTTCCAATTTCAGGTTTTTTTAAAAAAAATTAAAAAATTATTTTTATTTGCCACGTGGCAGACATTTGGCAGCCATATGGCATATATGTGGCAGCCACGTCAGCATTTAACAGATCAATTGATGGAAAATGTAACGATTGTATGAAATTGAAATAAAATAGTACTTGAGGTATGAAAGTGAAATGTTTTAAAGATGTTGTATAAGATTGCAAATAGACCTCAAACCTGAGGGGCTACTATGTAATTTACCCTTTAAAATTTATATATGCAAAAAAATATTTAATCTGTAAATCATTTAGCCATTCATCTGTATCAAACCAATCGATAGTTTTGATAACAAGTAGCATCCTCACAATGAATGTATATGAATGGCTAGATGATCTTCAAATTAAATGATTTTTTCCATGTATGATCTTTAGATGATGATAACGAAAATGAACGATTCTGTTATGGTATTTCTACAATGAAGATGCATTAATCTTAGGTGGGAGGACAAGTAGATTTTCTCATAGAAGGAACACAAACATTACCCATTTTAGTTCTCCCCTATTCAAAATTGTAGTTCATCAATGAGTAAATAACGAATTTTGTATACAAAATTCCCCATTCGTCTCAACGAGTAACAAGAATAGGTGCGCTAAACTATTAGTAAAGGTATCGTTTGGTATGCAGACGGGACGGGACAGGACAGAATGGAGAAGGAGCAAAGATGCCCTCAAATGGAAACAAGGAGGAAGAAGAAGGAGACGGAGAGGTTATAATTTTGTATTCCATGGACGAGTCGTTCCAGGGGAGTGAGACAGAACAAAAATTCACCCAAAATTTGTCCCGTGGAACAGCGCGTTCCACCCATTTTAGGCACACCAAACGTGGGACAGAACACCTCGTCTCACTCCATTCCCTGCCATTCCACGTACCAAACGGTACCAAAGGGACCAAATTCCCTTCTTTCAAAAAAAATTTCTCTCCTCCGTGAGAGTCCCTCATTCGTGTGGGTATGTTAGCGGTTCTGAGATTTTCATCGGTTACGATCCACAGTTCAAAAGCATAACTCACCCAACCACCAGATCCCCAATTTTCTATCCATTTTA